CCCCAAAACCCCAAAACCCCAAAACCCCAAAACCCCGGGATATATACTTGGGCTAGAAATCTATTATTTTGAAGAATTCTTGTTTTGAACGCTTAGGTTTGACTTCACAAAAAAATTCAGCTGGTTATTTACCCTTAGCTTCTTGGATTTCTATAATTTCCATCAATTTTTGGAACTCTTCTTCATTTCTGTGTACTTTTAAGTACTCTCGACTGTTTGAAGAGGCTCTAAACGTTAATGAAGATATTTACAGCTTAACTTTGCTGTACCCACACAAGAATTTAATCAAATCAATTGCAAAGTTTGGCACAAAATGATCAAAATGAATTGCATTGAATTCATTAAGAGGTATCTTCTCGTTAAGTTCTCGCTCTTCACAGTAGCCAAACAAAAGATCTTCCTTATTAAGAGTCTTTTTGCGATAACTATTGATCGAATTGAATCTACTTATGCTTAAAGAATCAGTATTCTTCTCTAACTTCCTAGCACTGTTGTTCACAGATCTTTTGTACAAAGAATAATCGGATTTCTGAGGACCCTTCTTCTCTAAAACTGATCAATCTTGCTCTTACCATTAGGAGACAGTTTTGAAAGACAGAATTGGAAAAAATTAGGCGAGGATTTACCCTGCCCTTCTTTATTTCCAGTCTGAAAGGCTACTTCTATAGGTAGCATTCATGATTTGCATTTTTATCTTCTCTTGATTATACTTAGTCTCATCAAAAGTGCCCTTCATCTTCTTTTTATCAATAAGATACTGAATGACCTTGAGAAAATCATCCATTAGGACAGAGATAAACACCTCATTTGGTAGTTCCCTCATAGCTAGATATAGATCGATTTCGCTAATATAATCATCACAATTAAAATCGAGAGCTTCAAATGCGATTTTAAACAGTAATTCATCGTTTTGGTAGATCAGAACCTCCATGGCATTGACATAGTCATGGTATGACCAAGGCTTTTTAAAATCAAAGAAATTTATCAGCTTCTCAGCTATAGATGAAGTATAACGCTTTGATAGAAAGCTCCTAAATTCACTTTTCCTAATCCGGACATTCTTCACAATAGAGTAACTTATCGCCTTTCTTGTTGATGCAACCCCAGCATGGATCTATAGTTAAGCAGAGAAAGTACTGAATAGAAGATCTTAAGAAGCTCCTCAGACCCTTCATCTAGTTGTTTCTGGTAACTCTTTGGCAGATTTACCATAGGCGAAATCTCTCTAAGATTTGAAAGCCTCATAGTTGTAGCTCTATGAGATTATTTATTAAATATACACTCCAGTTATAGATGAAACAGCCTTTGAGTCGGCGATTTTCGATACATTTGAGGACTCTACAATGTGTTTTATAATTGGCTCCTTATTTTTATGTAATGCCGGAAAATGTAATGCCATCAAGCTATAAAATTTGAACAATATCCCATACCTCTTGTCTAGAGTAAAACTAGAATTTCTATTCTTCCTCCTTAAAATCACCTGTGGTAAGCTTCTACAAAGTTTAGCAAGAATTACAATGTGGCTTGAGCACGCTTATGGCGATGTCCGCTTCCTGGAGACTCATTTTCCATTCCAAAATCCATTGACTGGTTGACTCTACCAGGGAATTTATAATTTCCAAGTCCTCTTTTGGCCTGAGAATCTACCCCAAGCTTGTCAGCATCCCACGAAATATTCTTATTGAACGGAATCTTTAGGTGTTAATCTGATGAATACGTACAGTTTTATTCGTGTCAGGAATAACAGCAAGCCTAGTATCTCCTTTGGGCTTTTTAATATGAATGAAACTCTTCTTCTTAACCTTCTTGATCTTCTCATGAAGATCCTTACTCAGGAGCCTAACCCCGTTTTTGTTGTGCTTCTTGGCCGGAAGTATATGAATTCTTAAATCCTGACTTATTTCCTCTGAAAGTTTATTGGTTTTCTAAAAAAATAATAAAACTCATACCTTGTTGTAAGAGATTGATTTTTAGAAAACGAAATTTGAACTCCTTCAGTATTCTTTCTTGCTTTGCGGAGGATCACACTAGGACTGTAATTATTCATTTTTATTTCTAAATTTATTTGCTATATTTTTTCTTTCTCTGGGGTTTTGGGGTTTTGGGGTTTTGGGGTTTTGGGGTTTTGGGG